ATACTGGAATGGGTTGCCACTTCCTCCTCCAAGGGATCTTCCTGACTCAAGTATCAAACCCAGGTCTCCAGTGTCTCCTGCACTGCAGGTAGATTCTTTACTGCTGAGCCACCAGGGAACTAGCAGTCACAAAGTTAGTAATCACGGCTGATGGATTTGAACTTACCTCCCTGGATGGTACCTTCCTCACCCTACTGGCTCTCCTCTGCAGTAAGAAAGTGCAGAATGGGGGAGGCCTCCAAGATAGGGATATGGGGTTAAAAGACATAAACTACCATGTATAAAATAAATAAGGAGCAAGAACATACAGCATAGGGAAATATAGCCAACATTTTGTAATAACTATTTTTTAAATTATTTTTTATTGGAGTATAGTTGCTTTACAATGTTGTTAGTTTCTATTGTACAGCAAAGTGAATCAGCTATATCTATACACGATTGCATGCATGCTAAGTCACTTTAGTTGTGTCCGACTCTGTGTGACTCTATGCTACCCCATGGTTTGTAGCCCACCAGGCTCCTCTGGCATGGGATTCTCCAGGAAAGAATGCTCGAGTGGATTGCCATGCTCTCCTCCAGAGGATCTTCCTGATTAGGGATCGAACACATACATATACATATATTCCCTCTTTTTTGAATTTCCTTCCTATTTAGGTCATCACAGGGTACTGAGTAGTGTGCCCTGAGCTATACAGTTGGTTGTAATAACTTTAAATGAAGTATAATCTGTAAAAATATTGCATCACAATGCTGTTGAGATGAATATAGTATTGTAAATCAACAATACTTCAATTGAAAAAAGAAAGGTTGTCCAGTGGCTTAAGACTCCTTGCTCCCAGTGCAAGGCGACCAGGTTCAATCCCTGGTCAGGGAACTAGACCCCTTATGCTAAAGTAAAGATCCTGGATGCCACAGTGATGATTGAAGATCCCAAGTGCCACAGCTAAAGACCCAGCACAGCCAAATAAATAAATAAATATTTAAAAAGAAAGAAAGAAAAAAGGCCAGGATGAGGCCAAGGGAGTGGAGGGGGTGTGAGGTCATCAGGTCATCCGGGGCTTCTGAGGCAACCTCACCAGGATCCCTCACACCTAGAGAGAGATTTTCTGTTTTCACAGCTCTTTCACATTTGTTAGCACACGCTGGATCTTTTCAGCAAATGCAACTATCCTCACTCTACAGAAGAAGCCAGTTAAGCTCTCTGCCCCCTCACATGACTGTTGGAATGGTGCATGGGGATTTCCAGAAATCTCCTGATACAGTTCCTGATACAAAGCTATTTTTACTGCGTGTGTCTTGTCTCCCTCCAAGTGGTAGGGAAGGCCAAGTCGGAGTAGGGGAGCAAGACATGGAGGTCAGTCTGCTGACAGAGTGCTGGGGTAGGGCGGCTCTCGGAGCCCGGGGTCGGAAGTCCCAGGTGCAGTCCTGCGGTGACCTCCTCACCAGTTACCCTGCAGCTGCACTCACAACCTCCGCAAGGCGGTGGGGCAGGGCTGGGGGCTGGGCGCTGGGGGGAGGTGGGGAGGGGTCGCCACCGAAGCTGTTCCTGGGGAGGCAGAGTCTGGCAAGGCTGAGCCACCTCCGCCCCAGCCACATTCCTCCTGGCTTTATGCAACTCTGGGAGGGTGGCTCCCAGACCTCCCGCCCCACAGGCGGTGTGAGCAGGCACATTTCTGAGCCCAGCCTGGGCCCAGCCAGCTGGCAGCTGCAGGCCCTGAAGAAACTGTCAGCCGCAGAGTGGAGCAGACAGAGCCCAGCCCCCACCCCAACCTCCCTCCCTTCAAAGGCCGAGCCCTGTCATGGGGTGGGGCCTCACAGGGAAACCTAAGTCACCTCCTTTGTGTGCATCTGAACCCCACAATACCTCTGGCTGGTGAGATAGATGGGGCAGAGAACTTTCTGGGACTGTCCTTTCCGGAGGAGATGAGAAGACCAGGTCAGGGTGGGGGACATTCTGGCAGACCTGAAGGAGCACCGGGTGGCCTCTCGGCTGACACACTTCACTTGGCCAAGCCCTGAACCTCGTTTGGCCTCCAGAAGTCTGGATGGCAGAACTGGAGGAGGCCGTCAGGCCCCTGCAGGACTGGGGATGGGGAACTCAGAGAGGCCTCTTCCCCGTCTTGGCCTATTTCTCCTTCAGGCACTGTTCCCCACCAGCATGGCAGGGTGCAAGACAGCCCCTACAATTCCTGCCTCCTTTTTGCTTTTAAGATTTTTTTTTTTCATGTGGACCATTAAAAAAAATTTTTTTTTAATTTATTTATGGCTGTGCTGGGTCTTTGTTGCTGCATGGCTTTTCTCTAGTTTCGGAGAGCCAGGGCTACTGTCTAATTGCAGTGCACAGGCTTCTCACGGCGGTAGCTTCTCTTATTGCAGAGCACTGACTCTAGGGTGTGCGTGCTAAGTTGCTTCAGTTGTGTCCGACTCTTTGCAATGCTATGGACTGTATCCCACCAGGCTCCTCTGTCCATGGGATTCTCCAGGCAAGAGTACTGGAGTGGGTTACCATGCCCTCCTCCAGGGGATCTTCCCAACTGAGGAATGGAAACTGCATCTCCTGCGACTCCTGCATTGCAGGCGGATTCTTTACCTCTGAAACCCTTGTGATACGGCAATAGACAACTAATACACTCCCTTCCTTCTTTTTTTTGGCTGTGTCATGCAGCTTCTGGGATATCAGTTCCCCGATCAGGGATTGAACCCCGGCTCCGGCAGTGAAACCCTGGAATCCTAACCACTAGGTCACCGGGAAACTCCCCTCCCTTCATTTTTAACAAGGACCTAAGCTGATTCCCCTCACAGCCCCCATGGGCTCCCTGCCTCCTGGTCGCCCCTTCCCCTCCCTCCTGCCTGGAACATCGGTTTGAAGATAAACTTGCTAATACAAAGTGGATTTGCCTGGCTCCCTGGAAGGCCCTAAGAGGACACAAGAAGGGTCCAAGCTTATCTTGCTGGATGGGGAGTGGGGCTGGGGACCAGAGGGGCAGGAGGAGGAATGTGAGACCCCCAGGAGAGACCCCACAGAGACAGTGAGGGGGGAGAATTAATCAAAGGAGAGCTGCTGTCCCCTGCCCCCACCCTCTGCCTGCTCTTCCTTCCTCCCTCTGCTCTTCTCTTCCTCAGTGGGTGGAGGAGCAGGTGGCCTCTTGTCCCCTCCCTGTCCCCTTTGTGCAGGAACTCGGGGAAGTCCCTGCACGGAGCCCGTGAATCCGCAGTGACTCCTCTCAGAAGCCCAAAGGGCAAGACGGTGTCACCCCATAGAGGAAAATGCCACCCACAGAACTTTCCAGGAAACCCTTGCCCCTTTAAAACCTGCCCAGAGAGTGGGTCTTGGGTCTCCTGGCAGCCCCCCAGCAAGGGGTGGGGATGGTGCTTGACAGGATGCTCAAAGAGACTTCGGGCCTCTCCTTACGGTGCCACCATCCCTGGCAAGGCCAGAGCCTCTTTTGTGCACTTCTGCCTGTGACACGACAAGGGTCCCCACCACCCTCAGGTTGGGGACCTCGGGTGCCCTCAAACCGATGCCCCTCCCCACAGGGCTCTGCCGCCATGAAGAGGCCCCTCTCCCGGTTCTGCCCCCAAGTCTCTGACCATTGTGCCTCCACAGGGCAGGTCTTCAGCTGCGTGGGCAGCAGGGTCTGTCGCTGAGCAGGGCACAGCAGGTCGGGAAGTGGCAGGGCGTGGGGGCAGGGGACAGCAGCAGGCTGTCCTTCACAACGACCCACGTCCGTGCACCGCGGCACAACCACTCCTGCCCACTTGCCCTGTGTTTCTCCTTCAGCCAGGGTGACAGACCCTTCAGCCTGAGTCCAGGCTGGGTGCCCACACACTGTAGGCGGAGGTTGGGTCCCTCTGGGTGTATGTGTGTGTGTATATGGGCGCTCTGCTAAAGCACTGTCTCTCAAGCCCCAGAGGAACATTTCCCTCTGGAGATGTTTCCCTCTGCCCCAGGCAGGCTTGCTGGTCTCCTCCTTCACAAGTGGATGCTTGGCCCTTGTATCATCTGATGTTTGCAACAACCCCTTTGGGTGAGTCATCAGCCCGTTTAATAGGTGAAGAAACTGAGACTCAGAGACTAGCTCTGGTCACATCAGCTCATCCAGGATCAGAAGCCGGGTGTCCTGACCTCTGAAGCTTCAGCAGCAGCCAGTGTCTGCTTTTCTTCCCCACTTGGGGACTTGGTCCCAGGACTCCCCTGGGGCCCCGGTGATGTGTCCTGAGGGTACAGAAGGCAGGAGACAGCTGCCGGGTGACACTCGTGTGCAGGCCATGGACAGTGCCGCCACAGAGACAGAGCCAGCCCGCCGGCTGCTGAGGCCCCTGGTCCTGGGTCCCTGCACTGCTCATCTGCCCCGGCTCTGTGACCTCCGGTGGTGTGTGACACACAGTGACCGCTGGGTGGCAGTGTGTTCTCATGCCTGAGACCAGACTGGTCGCCCGTGGCTGCGGAACATGGGGGTGGGGTGGAGGCTGCCACCCAGAAAGGTTGAGGGACCCCCCCCCCCTCGGAGAGGACTCGACCGGCAGGGCTGCTCCAAGAGTGTGTGTGTGTGTGTGTGTGTGTGTGTGTGTGTGTGTGTGTGCGCGCGCCTCCGCCAGAGGGCCAAGGACAGTGCTGGGAGTCAGGCGTGCATGGGGGGGCCAAAAGAGCAAAATATAAAGGAAACCGGGACAGCCAGCACAACATAAGCGGAAGGATGGAGGAACGGGCTGGAGGAGTGAGGACGTTCAGGAAAAGGACTACTCAGGAGACAGAAAGAGCAAGACAGAGAGAGAGAGAGACCAGGAAGAGAGAATCTCCAAGAAACCCGGAACTGAAAAGGGGAAGATGTGAGCCTGGCTGGGGAAAGTAGGTCAGAAGGCCGGTGTGAGAAGGGAGCCCAGAGGCTGGGCAGAGACAGAACATCCCCTAGGCAAGAAGGGGCCACACTCAGGCTTGCTGCTGATGGGGAGTTTATTTGGATTGAGCTGTGGAGATGCGGGTGGCTGACTGCTGCAGGTCAGGGTTGCTCCGGCTGCAGCTGTGGCTGAGACTCCGGCTCGGGTTCCGGTTCTGGTTCTACCTCTAGGTCTGGTTCTGGCTCCAGCTCCGGCTCCAGCTCCCCTGTCTTGCTCGAAGCCTGAGAGGGGTGAGTCCCATGCTCTAAGGCAGAGAATCTTCTGGGTCGCCACTGCAGGAACAAGACATGGAGGGTAGGAGAAGGAAGGGAAAGGGAATAAGCTATTCTTCCCAGCCCCCGCCCTGCCCATCTGGTCCCAGGCCTCTCAGCCACTCCCCACCCCGCCGTGAGCCTTCCTTGGATCCTTCAGGCACAAGGCATCCCTGGAGAGCAGAGCCTCATGAAAAGGGACTCTGAGGCAAGTTCAGGGTCCGCTCTGCTCATCTTCCTGAGGAAGGGGTGCCAGACAGCATGCTGAGGACTGGGGAGGGGGGTTCCTGGCTCACCCGTCTTCTCCAAAGGTGAAAGCTAAAGGCTCCAGTCACCAACAGAAGCAGGAAGAGGAGACCAAGGATGAGGAGAGGGAGGTGACCTGTTCTCCCCGCCCCCAGGGCTCTCTCGGAGCGCTGGGCACCTATGGAGAGAGGACAGGATTGGAACACACACACACACACACACACACAGGGTCTCAGCTGGAGGAGCCTCTAGCCACACTCCCATATTTTACAGACAATGAAACCCAGAGAGTTTAAGGGACGTGTCCAGGGTCACTCAGCTAATTTGTCGTGGAAGTGGGTCGGGCCTTGACAAGGGCTGGTAGTCAGCTCCCTGGTTGGAAAGGGAAGAGTGGGGGTGGAGGTCGGTCTGGAAGTGGGATGGAGGGGGCTGGTCTGGAGTCGGGGCTGTGGCGCTGTGGGGTCTCAGACCTGGATGAGACAGCTCGGTGAGGTACACTGCGGTCCCGAGAAGCCTCTGCCCCTGGTACAGACGGCACTGCCAGGGCTGAGAGAGGCGTCTGGTGTCTGGTGTCAGCAGCCAGGGGCCTGGGGAACTCCTCTGAGACCGCTCGTTCACGGGGCTCCACACAAAGTGCTCTTGTCCGGATGCGGGAGTCACCTCACAGAACGGTTTTCTCAGGCTGCCAGATGATCCGTAGGGCTTGGGAGTGACTGAAAAAATACAGGGAAGAGATCTTTGGGGGACCTGACCCCCTTCCTTGAAAGCATAGGTTCCGCCCAAGTCTTGATTCACCTGGGCTCTGACTGGGTGAACTTGAGGGGAAGAGATCGGAGTCAAGGCCAAATTAATCTCAAGACAAAGCTCTGGTCAGGTCACTCTGCTACCCCCAACCTTTCCAGGCTCCCTACTGCCTCGGGGAAATGTTCAAACTCAAACTGGCCCAGAGGGATCACATAAACAGGTACCTTTTCAGATTCTTTTTCATGACTTTTATTCAAAGACTCAGAACCCCCAATATCAGCCATGTGAGTTGGTCCCCAGAAGACTGCACTTTTTCTGCCTCCATGCTATAGCTTACATCTGTGTCCCCTAAATGAACCCTATTCCCATTTCTGAATGTCTAAAGGGCAGACCAACTGATCTAGAGATGGGACTTCCCTGGTGGCTCAGATGGAAAAGAATCCACCTGCTATGCAGGAGACCTGGGTTTGATCCTTAGGTCTAGAGACAGCACCTGGAAGCCATGTGGTGAGGGATGGGGGTAGGAGAAGACAACTGATGAAGGACCTTGAGCTGACTGTGGTGTACAGGCCCCTGAAGACTTGATGGCATAGATACCCAAGTTTAGCCCCAACCTGGCTCTTCCCAGCTGTGTAACTTTGAGAAATTTCCTTCTCTGTAAAACACAGACAACAGTATTTCTCCCTGTGGTCCGGTGGTTAAGAATCATCCTTCCAATGCAGGGGACACAGGTTCGATCCCTGGTCAGGGAACTAAGATCCCACATGGCAATAAGCCTTTGCACTACAACTACTGAGCTCTGATGCTATAACTAGAAAGAAGCTGGCATGCCACAGCAAAGACCCCACACCCCACAATGACGTGAGTAGATATTTTTAAAATTCATAATAATAAAAAAGAAGACATCCTTGGACAGAAAGAACTGGTAGACTGTGGCAACTGATGCAGAAGAATGAGGCCAGGTTTCAGGATGAGTAGAACACGACTGGAGTTACTGATGTAGAAGTGACTTAGCAGGAGGACTGGGTATGAGGAAAAGATGGGGTTCAGAGTGAGGCTGAGTGGGTACCATGTCTAGGTAGAGATACATGGAAAACAGTGGAAATTCAGCCCTGGTCTTTGAGATATGGGTTATTTATTAGTAGATTCATTTATTCATTCAACCAATATACATTATTAAGCACCTACTATGTGCACACATACATGCTAAGTTGCTTCAGTCGTGTCCAACTCTTTGCAACCCTACCGACTGTAGTCTGCCAAGCTCCTCTGTCCATTGGATTCTCCAGGCAAGAATACTGACTGCTTCTGCTAAGTTGCGTCAGTCGTCTCCAATTCTGTGAGACCCCATAGTCGGCAGCCCACCAGGCTACTCTGTCCCTGGAATTCTCCCAGCAAGAATACTGGAGTGGGTTGCTATGTCCTCCTCCAAGGGATCCTCCTGACCCAGGTATCGAACCTACGTCTCTTGCAGTGGCAGGCGGCTTCTTTACTACTAGCGCCACCTATGTGGTACTACTATTTAGTGGCTACAGATGAGCATTGCAGACACCACCAAGCTGTGATAGTTGCTGATCGATCAACACATACTTTCTGAGTTTGGTGTTTTCTCCTATGTTTGTTTTACACTGTCTTGAAAAGTCCTTGTTCAGTAAATATTTGCTATGAAAGTCGTTTAGCTGTGTCTGACTCTTTGCAGTCCATGGAATTCTTCAGGTCAGAATACTGAAGTGGGTAGCTTTCCCCTTCTCCAGGGGATCTTTCCAACCCAGGGATCAAACCCAGGTCTCCTGCATTGCAGGCAGACTCTACCAGCTGAGCCACAGCAAAGTCCAAGAATACTGGAATGGGTAGTCTATCCCTTCTCCAGCGGATCTTCCAGACCCAGGAATCGAACTGGGTCTCCTGCATTGCAGGTGGATTCTTTACCAACTGAGCTATCAGGGAAGCCCTATTTGCTAACTAAGGGACTGATTTATCAACTCCCCCCAATCTAGATTGCCTCCTGCAACTTTAACTCAATCCCTGGCTCCAAAGTGGGCAAGGATTCTGAAAATAAATATTTCACCTCTTTGGAACCATTCAAACTTTGTGACCTCTCCTTCTAAGTTCTCTGACCCTCCCCCCAATTCAGAGCCGGGGAGTCCCTTACAGAAGAGTGGAACATTCATCCAGTGACTCAGGGGAGATTTTCAGTTTCTGTTCATTATATGGGGGTGAGAAAAGAAAAGGTCAAGGGGGCAGCCTGCACAATTGTGCCCTGGGGCCTGGCATTATGAGGTGGACTTGCCCAGTCTTTGCCCAACCAACCTGCCCTTCCTGTCTTGTCCCACCTGCTAACCTGTGATGACTGCCAAAGTGACAGTGGCACTGAGCTGCCGTCCCTGCAGGTGGACGCGGCAGGTGTAGGTCCCGGCCTGGGCCTGACCCACAGCCTCTAGTCGAAGGGTAAAGTTGCCCTGGTCTCCAGCCACCAGGAGGTCGGGGCCTCCTCCGGGCGGGGTCCACGTGGCGGTGAGAGAAGACTGGATCCCCACACCCAGAGGCAGGCGGCAGGGCAGCTCCACCTTGGAACCGGCTCCAGCGTACACTGTCAGAGGGACTCGGGGCTCCAGATCTGCAGAGAAAAGGGAACCCCGAGTTAAAGCTGAGGAGTACAGACGGGCTGGAGCACTAGGTCTGCGGAGGAGGTGGGCAGAAACACGAAGGAAGTGATCCAGTTTGAAGGGTGCTAAAGAGCAGAACAAGGTGAATGAACAAAGGATGCCAAGAATGCCCAAATGCGGACCGGCAAGCAGGAGACCAAAGGCTGGCAAAGGAGGCTGGATGGCTGAGGGGAAAGCTCGAAGGAGAGAAGCCATAGAAAGGCCGCAAAGGGAAAAAGAAAGGGGTGGGACAGCGAGGCCCAGAGTAATCATAGGTGTCATCCGCTGCCAGAGTCTTGATCTGGGGGCTCAGAAGTCAGCAGAAGGTGTCAGGGGGCAGGAAGGGGTTGTGGTCAAGTGTGAAGGCAGACTGGAGGAGTTACCCAGAACAGCCAGGTTGTACGTGATGGAGACATTGAAGCCATCTCTGTAGGTGAGACTGCAGCCCCAGGTCCCAGAGTCCAAGGAGCTGACGTGGGGCAGGAAGAGGAAGTTTCCAACTAAGTGGTGATGGGGGGACTCCTGAACAGGGACTCTGCCTGGGCCCCGGAACCAATGCACGGAGGCTGGGAGGTCAGGGCGGCTGAAGGAGCAGTTCAAGAGGACCCAACTGGAGGTCCACAGAGGCCCTGGGGGGCTGGCCGACACTGGACAAAGACAAAGAAGGTTGATCATCCGGCTTGCCTGGCACAAGTCAGCTAAGCTGGAAGCTCCCGGAAACAGGAGCTGGTTGTAGATCTCCTTGTCTTCTCCCTCCCAACCCTCCTCCAGACCACCTACCCAGCCCAGAGCCTGGCCCCTGGAGGTGCTTCAAATGCAAGCCCAAGAGTCCTGTGCCTACTTCCCCCGCCCCCTGCCTCCAATTCACTTTGCTTGGCTACCCTCACCTTCTTCAGGCCTTGCTTGAGGATCTCCCTAAGCCCACTCTCTGAGTTACAGGTATCTAAATTGAGTCACTCCAGCCCCTCCGTCTCCCCTCCTAGGGGTGCCTCCCCTCCTCCACCCTGGCACTCTAGCTGTGGGTAGGGGAAGGAAAGCTCAAGGGGTGATACGATCTCTTCACTGAACCCTCCCCACCACACACGTGCTTGTCTGGGGGCACCTCCCACCCTGCAGGCAGGCTCGCCACCCCCTTCCGCTCCTGGGCTGGAAGCTCTCCGGCAGGGCTTGGGGCGCATCCTTAGAAGTACAGGCAGCCTCTGCCCTGCCCTTCCTGCCTCCTGGGCGGCGGGATACCGGGCGCCCTCCTCCCAGCCTCGCTCCCCGCATCCCGCCCCCACCTACCCGCCGCCTGGCCCACGCGCAGACGGAGGCTGCAGGCAAGGGCGCGGTTCCCGAAGCGCACAGCGGCGTGGTACTCCCCGGCGTCGGCGCGTCGGGCCGGGCGCAGCCACAGCGAGAAGTCCCCGCGCTGGAGGCCCATTTCTTCCAGCCTCACGCGGGGCTGCAGGGGCGGCCTGCCAATGCGCAGGCCTCCGGGGGCCAGCCTCAGCACTGTGTAGCGGCGGGGCCCGGGACCCCGGGGGGTGGGCGCCGCGGAGCCACTGGACGGGAGAGAAAGATGGGACTGAGAAATCCGAGGGGAAGAAGCCCCGGGGAAGAGGCAGTCTAACCACACCTTGAGGATGATGGAGCCCACCCAAAGGGAAGATTTCTGAACTGCTAACCGTCCTGTCCCCTCGTTCAGATTGGGCCAGCACCATCCACTACCGGAGAAGCAACCGTGCCTGGGGATACAGGTGTGACGGTAGCAGTCTGCGGAGGATGGGGGAGGGGCAGGAATGGGGGGGGGCGCGCCTATGTATTTACAGAGAGCTGGCTTGGGCTTTAGAGCCTAAATCTAGAAGCCATTACCTCTGGATCTGGGGGTCCCTGTCATTGCAGTTTGGGGTGCATACCTCTCTGGTACATGCTGCCAAGTGACTTGTCTTGTCCGCGGAAGGCTGAGATCCTGGAGGGGGATTGTGGGGCTGCAGGGGAGCTGGGCAGGAGCCCCCTCCTGGGCCCACACCACTGGGACCTCTGCCCCGGGCTCTGGAGCCTCCACTGGGGAGGAAAAGAGAGGCCAAGGGGAGGGGCCATGAGCTGAGAGACTTCAAAGCAGAGAAGGAGCCTCAGTGTTTTCTGAGGAAGAAACTGGGCAGAAGGGAGACCTTGGGTTTCTGCCCCTTCCCTGCCAAGGGGGAGATGAAGAAAGGCTTTGGGGGCTGAAAATGGCCCCGAGGAAGGCATAGGAGAATCCACCCAATCTAAGGACCTTGGCATCTGTGTGGTCACCGAGAGCTCCCTGCTGAACTTTTGCTATGGGTCTGGAGGTCAACCCTCCCAGAGTCGTCCCCATCTTACCTGCAGCTGCCCATAGGAGTTGCAGAAACAGCCAGATCTGGAACCAAGCCTCGCACAGCATCTCCCCTGAGGCCTGTACCATACAGCCCTCCAAAGGGAAGAGGTCGGAAAGTGGGGAAGGACTAAAGTTTGAAAGAGAGGTTCTGCAAGGAGGGAGTCAGAGGAAGAGAATCTAGAAAAAAAGAGGGATGGAGGCTTGGAGAGAGAGAGGGAGGAACCAGTGACCAGAAGCTGGAGTCTAGAGGAAAGTCAGCCAGATCAGGTAGCCTGAAGCAGGGGTCAGGGGAGGGGTGGAGGTCCCCAGGAAAGGGCAGGGTGCGGGCAGAGTGGAGGCACGGTGGCTGTCTTCAGCTGGAGGCTGTTCTAGTGCTCCCAGGGCCCTGGCCCCTGTCCTTCTGCCTTCCCTCCACCTTCCGCACTTCCCCTCCCCGTTGCCCCCCCCCCCCAACACCCCAGGGCTCACGGTTTCGCTTCGCAGTGGAAAGTCTGAGGGGGCTGATTCCCAGCAGCGTTACCCTCCACCCTTGTGGTGGCGCTCCCCTTGTTTATTTCCTCAGTCTTGGGTGTCCCCACCGCCCCCTCCCCCTCCCCCACCCTTGACTGTTCTCTTTCCCTGGGGAACTTCTGCCTCGAAGTACCCACTTGCTCATTTTTGAATTGCTTCCCCAGGCCCCAGGTTCATACTTCCTTGGCAAGCCCTTCCCTTGGTGCTCATCCTTTAATGTCCCAGAACTTCATTACCCTGTCCACCTGCCTCCCCACCCATCAAATGACCCCTAGCTTTATTGAACTCTAAAAGATGTTAGGTCTGAAGGGCACCCTAAGCACAGGGGATAGAATAGCTACACTGTATTGTGTTTTCATTATGTGCTGGGCATTGCAGTGCAGGGCACTTTGTACAGTAACTCATGAAACCTAATCTTATCCCCTATTGTACAGATGTGTAAACTGAGGCAGGATCAGAGATTAAACAATTTGCCAAGGTCAGGGAGTGTGAACACAAAAGTTGTGTGTGTGTGGTCCTGATGCCAGGTGACTTATACGTGTCTTTCCATCTTTTTTGGTTATTTTTTGGCCATGCAGCATGCGGGATCTTAGTTCCCCGACAAGGGATCAAACCCTCACCCCCAGCAGTGGAAGCCTGTAGTCTTAACCACTGGACCGCCAATGAAATTCCCAGTCTTCTCATCTTTTGGGGTGAATGGTGTCAATGAGTCACACACTCCTGTGATTAGACCTCTGTGTAATCAGCAGGCTCTCCCAATCCAGAGCTTCTGAACTAAGAGGGTGATAAGTAAAAAATGCAGAAATCCTGCAGCTCAACCTCAGGAAAAACTGATGCAGAACTAGGAAAGGAAGCCTGAGAAGGCTAGAGGGGAACTCATGCTCCCTACCCCGCCCAGGCTAAGGAGCCAAAACTCAAGCAGGCCTGGGACCACAAGAGGCCCTGGAGTTCTTCTGGCTTGACCAGGAGGTAGATCACTTCCTCAGTGCCAGCCAATTCTATGTTCAAGGAGGCCAAGATTTAGGCCGCCTGCCCTCTCCCACTTCAGGGGCGAGTCTTCCCGTTTCTGAGGCTACTTCTGTGCCTGGCTCAGCACAGTAGGGCTTGGTAGCTTTCCACTGGGCTCAGCAGTGTCTAGCCTGGGGTGGCCTTGAAGCACAGGAGCTGTGTATGGCTAGGAGGAGCATCACCAGGAACTCAAAACCAGGATGGCAGTCAGCTCTCAGAGCCATAGCGCCCCCTGTCCACCCCGGAGTGCAGCAGTTATCTTCTCAAGAGGGTGGAAGGAAGGTACTGCTGCTTTTTCAAAGGGGAAGGGTCCAGACAGAATGTGCCCTGGGGCCACCCTCCTCTCTCTGTCCCGGGAAAGCAGGAGACAGGTTAAAAACAGAAGCGCGACCGTTTCTTTATTAAATTATACAAAAAAGGGGGAGGGGAGGGGGGCAGCTGTGGGGCTCGGCCCCAACCCTGGCCCCACCCCGTCCTGGCGCTGTCTGAGAAAGGGATCTGAGGGAGGAGACTCAGGAATCAGGCAGGGTAGGGATGGGCAGGGCAGGATGATGTGAGGCTAGGATGCAGAGGTTAGGAAGGAGAGGCTATTGAAAGAGGGAGGGGCTGGCTGTGGGAAGGGCGGGAAGACAGGAGGGAGAGGGAGAGGGAGGGGGTGACTGGGGACCAGCTGGGGAGCTCAGATGGAGCAGGTAAGGAGGTGGAAGATGGCAGTGAGGATGGAGGTGCGGCATGAGAAGGCTGGGGGGAGAAAGGGCGGCAACTCTGGCTCGGGGCCCAGAGCAGGGAGCCAGGTGAAGAGTGGTTGCACGCGGCGCTCCCCACCCCACCCCCACCTCCGGGCCCCGAGGGGCCTCCCACCACCCCCAGCCCACTGGTAGGGGGCTCATGCCGACGCCCCATTTTCTGTCTTCTGCCGCTTGGGATCCGCTTCATCCTGTGGAGACGGAAAGAGCTGGGGTAGCTGTCAACCAGGAGAGGGACCGCCCCCTTTCCTGCTCCAGCCCACCCCGCCCAGCACCCCTGTACCACCGGCATCTCGGTCCAAATCCAAGGGCTCCCGGCCCTGCTGCATCCCTGACAGCCCCTCAAGCCCACAACCCAGCCCAAACCTCCTCTTCAGCAGCTCTCTTCAGCGCGGGCCCTTCGTCCTCATCTTCTTCTTCTTCCTCATCTGAGGAGCCAGAAATGGGTCATTGGGGGAAGGGCTGGAAGCTCCAGCAGAGACCCCCTGTGGCGGCCCTCAGCCCTGCTTTTAGTTCTTCAAACCCACCCTGACGGTTCCCCGCCCCTCCCCACCTTCCTCGTCCCCTTCATCCTCCTCCTCGCCGTCCTCGGCAGTTTCTTCTTCCTCCTCCTCCGCGCCGTTCTCCTCCTCCTGCGGAGATCGGGAGAGGGAGGTGTCAGGCTAGCCCAGTGCCTCCACCCACCGTCCCCGCCAATGGCAAGGGGCCTGGGCGGGGCCGGGGGCGGGGCGACCTGGTGGGCGGGGTCACGGAAAGGCGGGCCCCGGGGGAACATGGCTGGGGGCCCAGTGGGCAGGTGACCCCTGCGCACCTCCACCACTTCTTTCTTTCGCTCTTTCCGGCCTGCCTTCTCCTCCACCTTCTCTTTCTTCTCCTTCAGGTCCTACAAGAGAGAAAGAGGTCACCTTCCTCTGACCACACATGATCTGCTGCCCTTAATTCCCTCCAGCTGCGCTTCTCCCTCTGCAGTGAGCTTGTGTGTTAAGTTGCTCAGTCCGGTCAGACTCTTTGCGACCCCATGGACTGTTGCCCGTCAGGCTCCTCTGTCCATGGGATTCTCCAGGCAAGACTACAGGTGTTGGGTTGCCATTCCCTTCTCCCAGGGAGCTTCCCGACTCGGGTTGAACCCAGGTCTCCCATATCGCAGTTAGATTATTTACCGTCCAGCCACCAGGGAAGCCCCAGTAAGTTTAGAGGGGTGGAAAATGGAGAAGGTGGCCAGGGCGGCTCAGACGCAGCAGAGGTGCCAGGGTCGCCGCTGCCGCAAAGGGGCTGAGACGAGGCCGCTTCCCCAAGGGAGGAGGAAGAGTGATGAAGCCAGGGGAAAGGCAGTCAAGGTAAGCGCGCATCACCCCCACCAAGCTCTGCCCAGCCTCACCGGCTGAAGAGTTCAGCTCAGCAAAGCAAATCCCCCTCCATCTGCTCGCAGCCCTGACGCCCCACCCCCTCTTGAGGTCCCTCCTTCGCCTGCCCCCTCCCACTGCAGGCCCGGCTCTGCCTTTTGTCTACCTCTGGGGCCTTTTCCGGAGGACTCTCTCCTGGGCATCCCTTCCTGCTTCCCCCTCGGCTTCAAAAGCCTTTGTTTCTCTCCATCTGTGTGCCCCCCTCATCTTCAGGCTCCTACCTGTCCCAACACTACAGGAACAGGGATAGCCCCCTGGGGACAGCTCCCGGTGCCCCCTCTCACCTCTGCCCACTCCGGGCCCAGGGGGCTTCCTCCTCCTGACCACCTGGAGTGTGCCCATGGGCACAGTGTGTACCCTGGTGTGGTGTGTGCACTGGTGTGTAGAAGGGCAGGAGTGACCATTTCTGGGGGATGTAGGGGGAGCAGAGTAAGGGAAACGTGGAAGGGGAAGTCTATGGGATGTGGTACAGGAAGAGACATAAGGTCTGTGTGGGTGGGATGGGAAAGCGGGTGAGAATAGGTACCTGCCCAGAGTCCCCTCCCTCCACACACTGGTCCCTCTCTCCTCCTCAAGACCCCAGCAGGCACACCTTTGATGTCTTGTCTTGATATGATGTAGCTGAGAGAGGTGCTCACAAGAGTCCCGACTCTCTGGGGTCACCACACCGGCTCTTCCCATTGAGATTCCAGTCCTCTCTCCACCCCACCCCTTGGCAGGCACTGTGGTGCTCTGGATGATCAGATGGGATCTGGTATTGGTGTGCAACTCTGTATATCCGATTCCATGGGGATGGAAGTTTTCTGGGTGAGTGGATCACCCTGGGAGGGTGTGTCCTTTCTAGAGCAGGGTTGGGGGTAGGACAGAGGTTTGGTGTGGGGGTGGTTGGCCAGGCGGGACGCTCAGTTCCCTTCTCCCTTTATGGGGCACGCAAAACACTAGCTCCTCTCACTCCAACTAGGTTGCTCCATGCCACATTGCTGTCCTCATTTCTCTGCCAGATGGTCACTATGGCATTTCTCCTACCTGGTGGGCTTCCCCCTACAGCCTTGGCCTGGGGAGCCTTGGCTTCTCTCTGGGGGTCCCAGCACCAGATCTGCGTAGCTCTGGCCCAAGTTTTTCATGGGGCTGATGCAGTGGGGGAGAGTCAGTGAGTGCCAGGGAGGGAGGGAGTCTACCAGAGGCCAAAGTCCAAGGAGCCGGGCCCTCTCCTGCCCTGTCTGGTCCCGGCTTGTCCTTCTGGTCACTGTCCTTTTATGATCCCTTCTCCGGGGGGGTATGTGACCTAGGTCTTGTGCTAAGCAGCTCTCTGGCCTCATTTACTCAGCACAGGCACACACACTGACACAGGCTGACACTGATTCACACGCACGGCACAGAGGGGCGCCCACGCGATCCG